TGAGGTGGCCAAGAAATATAGATAACGCCCTTCGGCACATATGATTTTTTATGAAAATAGTGTATAGGCACCTGACATTTAGTACTTTCCTCGTTTAGAATTCTAAGGCAGAAAAGTAATCAAGGAAGGCGGTAGAGGGCACTTACGAAGGTCGAAGCGGCTTCCTGGGAAGGAATATTGAGGTCCTGGTCCTGAGGATGAACGGGCGTTTCCGCCGTCGCCTCTGGCTCCTCAGCATGTCGTTTGCCACGGTCGGCCGTGGAAGGGCCGACCGAGACAGCCGTTTCGAATGCAGGATTGAGATCCTGGTCCTGCGGAGGAGCAGGCGATTCCGCCGCCGCTGCTGGTTCCCCGACCGGTCGTTTACCACGGCCAGCTGTGGAAGGATCGACTGGAACGGCCGCCTTGGACGTAGGAAGAGGTCGACGGCGGGGATGAGGGCGACTCGCCAATGGAACTTCATCGCTCCCCTCGCTATCTTCCAGAACGAGGATCGAAGGTTTTGGATGTGCGGGAGAAGCCCCCTCGGTCGCAGGGACTGCCTTTTCTAGGACAGGCGGAGCCTCGACCGATGGAGCTACAACTGGTGTCCCGACCTCAGAAACAGGCCGTGCTTGGACTGTTTCTGCGGCCGGAGTTGGCTGTTTCTCGACCAAGGTTTGGCCGACGGTGGGAGAAGAAGAAACACCGGGAGTCGTCGCCTCCGTAGTTTGACTGGAGATGACATGGATCTCCCGTGCTCCTTTCTTTGCCAGCTTTTTGACCCGCTTAGCAGGCGGCGGAGGTTCGATGACCGGCTCAGCCTCTTGACGAGGCCGTTTGCGCAGCACAGCAGTCTTGGCCCTCTTAGCAACGACCGATTTCTTCTCGGCCGCAGCTGCAGCGACTACCTCCACCTTTCTCAATGGCCGACTACCTGAGAAAGTAAAAGCTAATCAGCAAGGCAAATCAATGTGCAAAATTGAAAAAAAAAAAAAAAAAAGAAAACAAAAAGGTTACCTTGAGCTTGGGGGGCCGAGGCCTTCTTAGGCCGGTCACCGAAGAGTTTGTTCAACACGTCTTCGACCGGAGCACCAAAGAACTCTTGGGTATACTGTTCCCACCAGTCACCGAAGGTGTCAGTGCAAAGGGTTTCAGGGGTGGCCGGTCGAAGGCGGAAACTTTGGCATTGCTCTTGGAACTCCCTCTTGGCGATAGTGCATTCCTTCTCTGAGGAGCCCGGTTCGCGCCCACGGCTTAGGACGGTTAGAGAGGAGAGAAAGGGGACCGGGCAGCCTTGGAGGTAGCCAAGCTGTCGAGCAAGGAAATTAGGATGGTACACTTCCTAGCCCGCTCGTTTCCCATCACAGTCGAGAGGAAGATCGCGAGTAAGCACGAACGACCCCCAGGACTGACGAAGGTCGGCATCTTCGTCCGCGCCCCACAGTGATGTGGGTAGCTTGATTGAGGAGGGATATTCTCGACGACGGCATATCAAGAACTCCTCGTTGGAAAGGTCATCAAGGGCGAAAAAGTATCTGAATACTTCTTCGGCTTGGTGAGGGGGTGTTGGTCGGGAGGCCAGCTGAGGCCCAAGCGCTTCCGTTGGTGAGAAATCGACGATCGCCGGCCGAAGGGAGGCGAAATAAACTTGCACCCAGAGTTGAAAGACCCAGAGGGGACCGTTTTGGTATGGGTCGATCTTGTGAAGGGTCGTCTCAGCCAGGCAACGGAAGAGATGGGCCAAGATGTTAGGACTAAGTGCCAGGACGTGACCACTAGCCAGGGCCTCGGCCACCGGCATGTTCTCGACCAAGCACTTGTTCGATTTGGTACAACAAATGTACTTGTTGTACCAATAGAAAAGGAAAGCTTCATGTTCCCCTTCTCGCAGGGCCTCTTCTCCTCGGCCGGCAAAATGGAGATAGAGGGTGTTGTAGTTGAAGAAGTTCTTGTGAAGTTTCTGAACGTCTTCTTTTGAGGGGATGTGACCCTCACGGCTCAACGTTTCAGAAGCCCGTCGGTCGAAAAGCGTCTTCAGGTTAAGATTCGACGGGTACCCGGCGAGGGCAGCATCGATGGGAATTCCAGTTGCTGAAGTTCCCAAAATGGCGGTGATATCAAGAATGGTGGGGCCGATGGGACCAAGAGGGAGAACCATGGTGTTGGTGGCCGAACACCAGAAGCATAGGGCGGCTAGGAGAAGCTCCTTGTCGAGAACGACGTCTATAGACGAAAAGAGGATGTCGTCGTAGATACCGAGGGCCTTCCATTGCTCGCCGAAGAGCTTTTCCATTCGAACAACCCAAACTGCCCAGGTTGTAGTGGTCGAAGGCCAGGAGCTTTGAGGTTTTGCCGCATCCCATCTCGACCATTCAAACCCTTGGAGCAAGGGTGATAGGCAATGCTTCTGGAGAAGTCCAATAATGGCTGACGGTACTGCCGCTTTGAAAAGAGGACCCAAGATTTGGTGAGAAGTGCTCATGTCACTTTCAAACCGTATGGTTTTGATTGAGCTTCGATCAAGAATCTTCTGACACTGATCACATTCCCTGGAAAGCTTAGAGATAAAGGAGGCCATTGTAGGAGGTTTAAAAGGTACGGTGAAAAAGGGGTTTTTCTGGGTTGGGGGATTTGGAGACGAAGACCTGGAAAAAGAACTGCGCTGGAGAACAAGGGCAAGAAATTTCAGAGAGATTTTGAAAGCGTAAAGTATGAATGAAGGATTCTCAGTATTTATAGGATTTTGGAAGGAAGGGCAATCGTTCGAAATTCAAAACAAAGGGCAAAATCGACAGAAGGAATCGCTGATCATGATGAACATTTAGGAGATGCGGTTGAGAAGACCGAGAGTCTCAGGTTTTGGGGGCGCACGATTGCGTGTGATGGCGAGATTAATGGCGAAAGACGTTTCGACGTCTGCACGATGACAAGCGGCTCGCGGATTGAGGTAGAGTGGCTAGGTTCAGCCATAAGGTCATGATGGCACGACGGTTCAGGTAGCCGCACGCCTTAGACGTCATTATTAGGGATTGGTCGTGTTAGAAGACGCCACGTGGCGGGTTGGTTAGCAGGATCAAGATCGTGCAATCGTGCTCAATAAATGCGCCTTGGAAATAGAGCACTGGGGTTCTGAGGGTTACATTCACTTCTTCAAGGCCGAAACTCGGCCAACGAATTCAGGCCGAGGACCTCAGAAGCGAGGGGGCAATGTTTGGGCCCAAAATAATAGTTTGGGCCGAGTATAGAATCATTCTCGGCCCGGAAGGCCTTGCGATAAGAATGCCATGGATCGTTCAGCACGTGGGCCTCTAAACCTAGGTCGGCTAGGTCACAACACAAGACAAGTCGAGTCCTAGTGCAATAGGGAGTTTCGGTAGGATTAATAACCCGGAAGCGAATCCGGCTCGGTTAAGGACTAGGTTCACAATCCTAGTGAAAATAGGACTGGTCGAGTTGGTGCTGATCAGGAGAAGAAGACCTAGTCCGAGTAGGGTTTTAACTCGACCTTGGGGGGAGCCGTTGCTATAAATAGAAGAGGCTGTGCATCATTCGAAGCCCCTGCAAATCAATACAAAACTGCCCTGCGCAAACTCTCAACAACTTGAGATTTTTTCTTTCTTTTTCGCTGACACATGTTCCGTTGGCATCAACAGCACTGTGGAAGCAACCGGTGATATCTTAAGTCGGCATAGATAGCTCTGTCACCATAGAATCAGTCGATCTCGTAGTATCTTCCGTTGGCATCAACAACACTGCGGCGAGAACGGTTGATTACCTATCCAAGTCTCGGTCGAGAAGGATTTCTGAATCCTTATTGATTGAGGTCATCTCATTAGCCTTCTCGACGAAGTGAGGTGTTACGGTATATCGAGCTCGGCGCTTTGCTCGCCGAGTTATTTTATGATTGGATATTCCCAAGTGGGATTTAGAGTTCGGCATTCGGACAGCCGAACCACGTTCACCATCAAGACTTATATCTGTTTTGAGTATTTGTGCCCTTACACTCTGGTGTCGATTTGGCGTGAGTTTACTCTGACGAATAACATCACTGTGACTGAATCCGACGACGACGACTCGTGAACTTCGTAAGAATAGTAACCTTGTCTTCAGGTTCGAGAACCCAAGAGGCCGAGACGCGTTCCTTCCTCGGTCGCAATCGCAAGACGCAGGAGTCAGCCGCGCACCCAACGCAACATCAACAAATTTACTCCTCGGCCGAGCTCGGCCGACGAGTTGGCACGCCCGCATTCACTGAAGGACGTAGTTAGCTTATAAATTACTCGGCCTGCGCGCCACGTAGGCTTGGTAGTTTTTAGGGTCAACAGATGCCTACTCTATTTGTTCCTTCCCCTTGTTTATCTTTTTAGGTACCGAGCTTTTAAGTAAAAATACATTAACCATTCAAAGATCAAGCAAACCCAAAAGACCTAAATCCTAAGATCAATGAGTCTTTTGCGAAAACAAGAGAGAACCCAAACCTTCCTAAACACACAAAGTAAACCAAAATTCAACAAATTTGAGCTAACATAAACTATATGAAATGATAAACGCCCAATTCAACTATTTAATTTAATTAATTATTTATATTTACTGTTCGGTCCGATTCTAAGCGGTTCTGCCAATATGAAAATCAAAACTGATATGAACGGTTCGGTCTGGTTCTTGAACCTAAGTTGACTTTCTTTAGTCAACAAGGGATTTTAAAGATTATTTTGTCGCAGTTCAATTCGGTTTAGCAGTTCCACGATTTTTAGGCCCACCCCTACTGGTAGACTCGTTTTAGATGGGTCCTGCTAGCATTTCTTAAAGATGAATTACTTCCTCTCAGTCCTAACATTTTTGTGGAATTGGAAATTTTTTTAAGTGTTCAACTATTTATATTATTATATTTAGCATATTAGACCGTATTTCGGACACATTGAAAAAACCCTAGAAGTCGGGAACCAAACAGAGTCTATTGACGAGACTAGAAGCTACTACAGGATAACCGACGTACAAATACCCCTGGAAATGTTCATAACAAATTCCATTCCAATACCCAAACAGCCCCTTCTTTCTCTCTCTTTCACTTTCAGTCTCTCTCTCTCCTCAAAACCCTACTCCAATCCCAAACCCCCACACAGCGATCACAACCAAAACCTCTCTAAAACCCTAGCCATGTCCTCGATACTGCTTCGTTCCCGTTCAATCTCCCGGCTATTAAAGGCCAATGGACGCCTATTGAGCTCCGATGTGCCTTCAACGCCTCACAAAGAACCACTCGTCGGAACCCAATCCTTAATCTCCGATACCACATCTCCACCTCCGCCTCCACCGCCGCCACCAAGCGCTCCGGCTCCGAACGCTTCAAGTAGCAAATCCTGGAACTTCCTCAAGTACTCCCTCATTGGCGCGATCACTGGAGCCACTGCTGCTGTTGGTTATGTCTCGTATGGTATGAGCTATGCTGGTCTGGAAATGTTGGTTCATTTTTGTCTGCTTGGTGTTTTTTAAGGGTTTTGAAGTGAAACTTGATGTGGATTTTGGCTGCAAAGATTACGAAAGGCTCGGTTTTCGGTGTTTTAGATTATTTCGTGATAAGGAATTTGTATATATCGGCGAATTGATTGAACAATGTTTTAGATTTTTTTTCTTTTACTTTTTGGTTTGTGGAAGAGAAATTTGATGTGGGTTTCTGCTAAACAGGTATTCTCTGTGTTTGTAATATTGGGTTAATGTGGTGGGTCTTATGTTTCTTGGTGAAATAGAGTGAATCTTGGATTTGCATTCATTTTGCAGCATACTCTTTGGATGAAATTGACGAAAAGACCAAGGCTCTCCGAGCAGCACCTTCAACTAACAAGGTGGCAGATGATGCGTCTGCTCTTGAAGTAAGTATGACATAGAACTTTGTTTTAGGAACGCAGTTACTTAGCTGTCCGCATGATTTAATAGTGCAGAATAACAATTTTATTCAAGTAACTTAACCTGAAAAAGAGATGAGGAAGAGAAAGAATGTAAGGATTCATTTGTATCGTGATGTGGAACAAGTTTTTAGATGATTACTTTGGTTGTAGTTTTTACAATTATTAATACTTCAAAACATGTTTGATATGAAAATGGAAAATTGCCTGCAAATTTAGATAAATTTAAACATGTTTTAGATGAGTTTCTGAGAAGAGTGAAAGTAGTCTAAAGCATTTGATTGACATGGTTTGGAAGCAATATCCCGTCATTCTCTTAATATTGAATCCATTCTAGTGGGTTTAATGTGCATCATGTGATTGTCAGACGCATAGGACTTGAAAATTCTTGACCTGTACAGGGGATGTCTTTCAACTGGCATTGGTGTTTGGTCAACTACTTTTGGCCCGGTCATCTGAGCTGACTTTGGTCAGTCCAGTGGGAGGGCTTGAACCATGAAGGAAAGTATTTTGTTAAAAAATGGTCCAAGCCTTTATTTAGGACTGTTTTTCAAGGAGTCAAAACCACCTATCCAGTTTTGGTAACTCTATATGCACCTATTCTATGCTGTAGTTTGCATGAACTGGGTTGCTTATTACTAAATCTTTTAACAGTTGTTAGTTTATGTGTTCTAATCTGTCTGCTACAGAAGACAGATAAGTAGTAGGTTGCATTTAGCTTGCGTTGTATAGGTTGTTGGGCCGTGCTTTTTATTATACATTATATTATCATTATTACCTCCACAATTTGATGAGTCTTCAATAGACTAACATTTAGCGATCTATTTCTTCTGCAGAAATTTAAAAGTCGGGTATACTCTTCTACAATTACAGGTGAGGTCCTTAACTATGCAGTCTGAGAACCTTTTCCAGTATTTTTTCTATCAATGTTGACTTTGTTGGGTTTTTGGCTCAAAATTAGGATGATGCAATAAATTAGGTTCGTGTTACCTATTTGGTTTTGGTGTCCTATTTGAGTTTGGATTTTGACTTCTTAGTTGGTTTCCTTGGTGGAGAGATTTTGTTAATTACCTATTTGATTAGGATTTGGATTTACTTCCTATTAGGATTCTTACTGTAACCTAAGTCCAATGCACTATAAATAGGACCTTAGGGTTAGTGTGTTTGGAGTGGCTCATTTGTGTGGCAATTTGGTGAGAGTCAATTTATGAGTTTGTGAGTTTGAGAGCAATTTGGGAGAATCTTCTCCGTTTGTTTGAGTTCTCTACTTGTTTGGTTTAGGGTTTGTAATTTGTGGGATTTGGGTTGTGAGAGTTTAAACATTCTTTTGTAATCTCCGTTTGTTTAGTGAAATTCCTTGCCGTGCTTCGCCCGTGGAGTAGGCTTTATGCCGAACCACGTAAATCTCTTGTGTTAGTTTGAGATTGTTTGTTTTAGCTTTCACCTACGACGTTGATATTTGGTACTTTGTTATAATTCATTTCCGTTTGCTCATAAAAGTACAACAGACTTTTGTTAATTTTCTTTATTTTGGGTCCTGTTATGTAGATGATGCATTGAGTTAACTGCAACCTCTTTTTCTTTTACTTTTGTATTGTAGTATACATATGTTATCTCTTGAGCATATAGTTACCTATTTCATTATGACCAACATTAGAAAATGAATGATAGAACTAGTCATTAATCTTTTGATCCAACTCTTTATCACAGAGTAGTGAATTGTTTATCGAAGCATAATGTCTTTATATATTTTGATGATATATTTTCAAAAAAGTATGTTGATTGTACACATTCTTTAGTGCCTACTCCACGCTATAAATTTGACAGAGCTCATTTGGTTTAACTTCTCATGGGATGAGCCTGACGTTAAGAAGCAGACAAATTAATTCTCATATTGTTGCTCACAGTATGATGATTGTTTTTTGTTTTATATTTCAGTTCCTGCTAAAGCAGTTGAAGCTTACATTGATGCAAGGAGGACGATTGAAGAACAAATTCGAGTATGTTTTTATTTTCTTTTAACCTTTTTTCTCTGCTTCCGCGTTGTGATTTTGATTGTAACTCTTGTCTAAAGAGCTTATGGTTGTTTGACTCAAATGTTTCTTACTCTCATATAGGGCTATACTGAACCATATGCGGAGAAGCTTCTTCCAGATTTGCATCCCATGGAGAAACATGTTTTTACCCTTGTTCTGGATCTCCAGGAGACATTACTATACTCTTATTGGACGGTAAGGCTGGTTGAGGCGTTTTTATCTCCAACATAAGACATTGCACTCTTATGCTGGCAAGATTTGGCATGTTCTTAGAAGATTTATTTGGTAGTCTTATGTACATGTTTATGCATCTCATGATTCTAAGCAATGAATTTTTTCCACATTTGTTCATGTCTTTGTAAAGTGTTCTGCATTGCAGTTTGGTAGTCTTATGTTCATGTTTATGCGATCTCATGATTTCTAAGAACGATTTTTTTCCATATTTGTTCATGTCTTCTTAAAGTGTTCTGCATTACAGTTCAGACTTCAGAGCCATGAAGGGTTTTTTTATTTTTATTTTATTGTTTTGTTTTGGTTAATGACACTCATGTTTCTTTTTGGCATATAAAGCGAGAAAAGGGCTGGCAGACTATCAAAAGACCTGGAGTTGATGCTTTTTTGGAACATCTTGCTCAGTTTTATGAAATCATCGTGTATTCAGACTATTCAAATATGGTATTCAGTATTTCACTTGTACGTTGTCGTTACTTTTTGTTCTCTTGGAAATTACTGACAGTTGTACTGTTTTTTTGGTAAATGTAGTATGTAGATCCTGTAATGGAGAGACTGGACACCAAGCATTGTGTACGATATAGGCTGGGAAAGGCTGCCACTAGGTATCAGAATGGAAAACATTATAGGGTAAGTTTGTTGGGCACTTGTTTCATTACATGATGCTCAATTTCATCTTTTCTGTACCTTTTTGTTGATTTACAGCTTTGAACATGGTATTTATTTTGTATGTTTTGTGGCTCTAGCATTTGCCAATGCAGTATCTCTCTAAGAAAATTGCTATAAACTGTCTCCTGCAACCAATAAGCTTACTTGTGTGCCATGTCAAACCATGAAATAATTGATGAACTCCAATGTGCATTCATTTGAAACCAGTTTCCTCTCTTGGTTAATTCATATTCTATATCTGATTTTGACATATGTGATTAGTAAAGATATGAGATGTAGTTCCTCTTGGCAGGACCTTTCAAAACTTAACAGAGATCCAAAAAAGATCATCTATCTGAGTGCACACGCACGAGAAAATAGTCTTCAGCCTGAAAATGGTGCCGTAATAAAGCCATATAAGAATGAGTTGGATGACACAGCTCTTGTGGATTTCATACCATTTCTTGAATGTAAGTCATCTGTGATTTTCATTTCTTGTAGCACCAGTGGACTTCACATTATTTCTATGTTAAATCAACTCCTGAAGCTTGTGAGAAATGTGTTACCGCCTCATTGTGCTTGGTTTATGTGCAGTTGTTGCCCGCAATCCTCCAGCAGATATTAGGCAAGTACTAGCATCGTATGAAGGGCGTGATATTCCTGCAGAGTTCATTAGGCGATCCAAAGAGCATCAAAAGTAAGTCTTAGTGTTTGTATTTAATTTTGTGAATAAAAAGGTCAACTGTGTCATTTTCATGTTTATTCACTTAATGCTACATTAACAAGTCACTAACACAATAGCTGTTGTTAATCCTCTCCTATTTGTACTTAGAAATCCTAGCATCCTCAATACGACATGTCTGAGATTCATTGTATAATTCTTAGGGTGAAGTGCCGATTTAGTCACTGAACTATTGCCTCAGTGAAAATTAGGTCCCTGAATTTATTTTTCGGTAAAATAAGTCCTTAAATTCATTAAAAATTGCTAATTTCATCCCTACTAATATATTCAAAGCTATTTTATCCAATTTTTCTTCAATTCAAGTCACTCGACACACTTTAGAGTGAAATACCATTATTTTTTCGCCTATAAGCCCTTCTCATTTCATATAGGTTGCGAATCTAACATCTAATTTACCCTCCAAAGTTAACTTACACTATTTCTTATTTAAAACTACCAATTTACCCTCCAAAGTTAACTCCATACACTATTTCTTTACGAAAAACTACCAATCTACCCTCTAATGTGTATCACATGCAAGTAACGTGACTTAAATTGATGGAAAATTGAATATAGTAGCTTCGAATATAATATTAGGGATGTAATTGGCAGATTTTTATAATCCAAGGACTAATTTTTCTGAAAAAACAGTTTTAAGGACCTAATAATTTTTACTGAAGTGATAATTTAGGAACTAAATTGGCAATTCACCTTAATTCTTATACTACTGATTTTACTATTGTGTGATGTGAGAATCTGTCTCAATCTATGACATTGCAGGCGAATGCAAGAATCGAAGCAGCAGGGTCGATTTTGGCGACGTTGAGATCAGGAGGCCGAGTCAAGAGTATTGTAAAGACTAGGTGATGTTTTCAAGTACAACCGGCTAACGGATTTTCGAGTCAGTGTTAAAGTAGCTATCGAGAAAGTTCCGGAGAAATGAAATTTTGAATCGATCATAATTCTTTTGCGGCATGGATTTGACATTACAAAGTTCCGGAGAAATGATATTTTGGCGTAAAATTTCTATGGACAGCAGAATTTTGGCTCACAGCAATTGATATTTTGTAATGCCCTGGGAACAAAGGATTTGCAACTCGTCTATTTTCGTCGTTTCCAGCATCTGCTCAATTTAGTCACTCAAGCTTATACGTTGTGCCAGATGGGACTTTGTCGTAGTGACGGAAATCAGTTATGCTTATGCAACTCTGGTGCGGGTTTCATCCTCGCCGCTTCCCATTCCCCAATAACTAACAATTTATGTTCACACTAATCTAGGATTTTAGACTAACTCAACATAATCGACCAAAAGTTGAGATTCTGGACCACTCAACGAAATCCCACTAGGAAGTGGTCGTCCATTGCAGAATTACCAAGCAAAATCATAGGCATGCATCAAATGGATTGGCCCCCAATGCCGATTAACCAAGCAGGACCACCCATGAGCACCATGTAACCAAGTAGGTAGTGGCTCCCAATGCAGATTAAACAAGTAGAGTCACCCCTAGAATGTGCATGGTCCCCTAATCCGGATTAACCAAGTAAGATCGTATCCTATAGTACTAGGTGCTGATCACCCATCGCAGATATACCAAGCATGATCACTCATAGGATGTGTATGGTCCCTCATTGTAGATATACCAAGCAAAACCATATACATAGTTTAATAGTGTAGGCAGTGACTACTTATTGCAGATATACCAAGTATGACCACCCTTAAAATACATATGGTCCGCCATCGTGGATATACCAAGCAGAACAATAATCTATAATACTAGGTAGTGATCACCCATCGCGGATATACCAAGCATGATCACCCCTATAATGCGTATAGTCCCTCATCACGGATATACCAAGCATGATCACCCCTAGAAGGCGTATAGTCCTTCATCGCGGATATATCAAGCATGATCACCCATAAAATATGTGTGGTCCCCCATCGTGGATATACCACGCATGACCGTAATCTATAATACTAGGTAGTGATCATTCATTACGGATATATTAAGCATGACCACCTTATAATGCGCATGGTTCCTCATCATGGATATACCAAGCAGATAGTGGCGAAGCCATGAATTATATGGGGAAAGGTGATGTGGTAAAAACTAACACACAAATTAAACCCTCTTTTAGATAATTGTAGTATGCGTAAGTAGGGATCGTTCTAGGGATGGATGCTAATCTACACTAACTTGACTCAAAAACTGAAAACTAGACTCAAATACACAAAACTAAGCTAGACTGACTCAAATAACACAAAACAAGCATTAAGGGGTGTTCTGGACGAAAATTGAAGTAAATTGACACGAAATACTAAAGGAGGATACTAAAGGGGGATTTGTTTGGACGAATTTTAAACTAAAACTAAGTACGTTGCAGAAACAAAGTGAGGGTGGTACGAAACTAAGGTAACTTAAGGGGTGAAAGGCTAGCTAGAGGGTCATTCTCCACACATGACACATATACATACAAATCGATTTCCAGTTATTATTCCTATAAACCATGAATGACAATGCCCCAAATTAATCGTGAAAAACACAAATTAACTTTCAGATTTTCCTAGATTCATTGAATTGGACTCAGTGACGCAACCAGATTATTCTTATCAAGTTCCCTATATGAACAACATGATAGAGATACATATCAAAGATCATTGAGTTATGTGAAAATCATAAGCATCGACAAGGCATTCATAATTATGAACTACATGATACTCCTGCCAGGAATTTTACTTAACACAATTATGACTAGTGACTTTTACTACTTGCAAATATAAGTTCATAACGATTAGGTGAAATTCCCTTATATTCTAGCATCAAATCCTTGCATGCAAACTAAGTATGCATCCTTAATCAACACACAAGAACATGTTCTTAATAAAACAGATAAGTAAATTGCATTTACAAATTATGAAACAATAACTGGATGTAATCAATTTATATGAAACATATGATCATGGCTTTGAATTCACCTCTAGCTAAAACGAAATTAGTTCCACATGTTCGTCATAACTAAATAAAAACAATCTAAATTAAACATTGAAATCAAATAAGGATAGAAAGAGCTATGAGATACTCCAGCAATGGAAAATTCAGCTCCTCCTCTAGATGGCAGAATTGTCTCATTTTCTCCTTGCAAGCACGGCTCAAAATCTCTTTCTCTCATCCAGAAACCTGCGGCACTCTCACCAATTTTCTCTCTAAAACTCCCCCTGAAAGCTGCGGCAATAACTTGTATTTATAGGGCTAGGGCACGGCCTACTTTGTGATGGAAAATGATTGAGTTGTTTGCAGTGTTTTAGGACTCCTTAAATCAGATTAGAAGTGGTTGAATGTGATAAGGAATCCCCCTTGCAGCTGGAGATAAGGTAAGATAGAATAAGGATATCATAAGATAAGATAAGATAAGGTTGAGATAAAACAGGACTGGATAAGATAAGGTAAGTTTGGATAAGGATAAGATATGATTAGATAAGGTTTGTTAAGGATAGGGTTTCCCTTTAATTTCCGATTCCTTGTCTCCAAGCCTCACTCTTAATTCTTCCAGATTATAGTACATTTCTAGCATTATTTAAACACCAAAAAGTCCATCCAAAGTGCTCCATACGCATGCTATCCAATCCAAGTCCAAAACTGCTCCAAATTGCTCCATTTTGCCCTTTTTTGTCACCTTTGCCAATTGGACCTACAAACGCACGAAAATAGCTTAATTCACTATAATAAATAGAAACTAACTAAGTAAATGGAAAGAAATAAGCTAACAAAGTCGCATAAATATGCTCCTATCAAATTCCCCACACTTAGCTTTTGTTAGTCTCCAAGCAAAACACACAAAAAAAAAAAAAAAAAAAAAAAAAAAAAAAAAAAACACAACCTAAACCTTCCAACAATTGCCTCAGGGATTTCCAATGAAATAGACATGTTAAAAATCACTACCCACATAGATTTTAGCCATCCTTACCCTCGAGCTTATACTTAACCGCAATAACCACTCACTAGCTCGCATTTAATCAATTAAAACAACATTTTGAATGTAGTAACATGCCTTAGAGAATTCACTCAATTCCTCAACGGATATACTCTCTATTTTCACACAGATTTTCTGACTACACTCCCTATACTAAGTATATGTGAGAAGATTGATGTAAACATGTAGACTAGCACTCACATATGTTATATCAAAGAAGGCACTTTATGGAATTATTAATACAAACATGTATATGATCTCATGAACGGAATGCCACTACTTAGAAGAGAGAACTAGGGATTCCATATGCTCGTACCAATTTCAAACTCCGCATATTGAATAACATAACAATCAAGATAAAAGTTTAAGGGTTATAATGGGGCTAAGATATTGGCTAACAAAGAAAAGTTAAAGATAAACAAAGGTTCTTAAAGTGATAGTAAGCAAAATAATGAAATCAACACTTAGAATTCAACTTTTTGATTGCAGAAACCAACTTTAAGCACAAAGGGGAGATTCGTACAACATTTAGGGTTAGATTCACACTTTTGGACCCTTTCTTCAACAACCAATACTTGTGAGCTCATTCTCACTTATTTTGAATTCTTTTTTTCTTTCTTTTCCATTTTTTTTTGAAACATAAAACATACACACTACTTCACCAGATTCAAAAGAACAAATCCTTCCCCCACACTTATTTCTCTGCAAATCGTAGATCAAAAGGAATTCCGAATAAGTCATGCTTCACTATTCTCTAAGAACAAGGGTATGGATATTCCTATACTAGGCTAGGTAGGGATAATGCAGGTTAACAAAGAAAATAGGCTAAATAAGGCTCAAAAGGGTTAAACCTACAATACATATGCAAGGGATAAGACTTTTTGGCTCTGGTGGTAACTAAACAATTTTTTTCTTTTCTCTGTTATGCAACCAATTTTAAGATTTGAATGAAACGGACATGAGTTCTAGTATTTGGAACTAAATGATGAAAAAGCATTCTAAGTAGCAAGCAAAGAAATAATGAGATCATGCGAGGACATTAGAAAACAAGAATATCACGGATTAATAACTCTCCAAACAAAGCATAGGCTCAAGTCTCTCAGGGTTGTAGTGTTAGTTTGAGTTCCTTTCTTCAAGCATGTTACAAAAACTGATTTTTTTCTTTTGTGATTACATGTGAATTCGTTAATGACAACTACAACCAAGTATTAACCAAAGAGCATATCAAATTTCCACCCATGTTTGTAACTTTCTTTAACAGTCATGCAATTAAAAACCAAATCCTCATTATTGTGTTGGAAGATACCCTAAGACACAAACAAACAAAAACGACTCTTTTTGGTATTTTTCTCAAAATTTTTCGATTTTTTTTTTCAAATTTTCGAAATTTTTCAAAACACACACACACACACACACACTAAAAAAAAAAAATGAGTAACAACATTAGTAGTGATAGGTGATGAAATTCAAAGAAAACTCATGAAATTCAAAAAAAATGAGTAACAACATTAGTAGTGATAGGTGATGCTTAAACCAAATATTGTCCTCAATGTTTCAAAATAAAACTTAAACAAGAAAGCAACAAAAGACGACTAGCAAGCAAGACAAGCATGGCAAAGTAAAAAAATGTAAAGAGAAGGGTAAAGGAACGCAAATCTGGTTGTAGGAGCCGGAGAGTCCAAGGTCTCTTTATTCGAACCCATGGGTTGCCTCCCAAGAAGCGCTTGCTTTAACGTCTTCCAGCTGGACGATACCTCCACTTAAGCTTTAATAGGGCCTACGGCATGGAGGGGTACATCCTCCATGACACGCTCCTCAAAATACTCATAGTACGGCTTCAAACGGTGTCCATTCACTTTGAATTCGTGTCCTGTCTTTGAAACTTTGAATTTGGACTGCACCATAGGGAAAGACATTAGTAACAACAAAAGGACCAATCCATTTAGAATGTAACTTACCTGGAAACAATCGAAGGCGGGAGTTGAAAAGTAGCACTTTCTGCCATACAGAAAACGTTTTACTTCGAATCATCTTGTCATGGGCAGCCTTTGTTTTCTCTTTGTAAATGTGAGCGCTTTCATAAGCCTCATTCCAAATTTCCTCAAGCTCATTCAATTGCAACTTCCTATGAAGTCCAACGGTATTAATGTTCATGTTGAAAATCTTGACTGCCCA